GTTTAGAAGTAGCAAAAGAATCATTTTCCATTAGCAGTATATCATCAATATTGACAAGTATATACATTTGAGTTTCATTTTTAGATAAGCAGAGTAATGATGGATCTGCTGAGCTTACTTGGAAGCCGAGTTCAATGAGGAAGTTGGTAAAACTCCCAAATCATTATCGTGGTGCCTATTTGAGACTATAGATGGCCTTTTGCGTAAGCAAACTTTATTTGGGTGATTTGAATCAATAAAATTAGGCGGCTGCATTATATAAACGGTTTCTTCAAGTTGGCCATGTAGAAAGGCATTGGACACATCAAGTTAAAAAATTGACCACTTGCGAGTGAGGGCCACAATAAAGAGTATTTGAATGGTTGGAAACTTAGCCACATGACTGAATGTGTAAAAGTAATTAAGACCATTTTCTTGATTAAATCCTTTGGCAACTAAGCGAGCCCTATATCGTGCAATGGAACCATCAGAATTATATTTATTTCTAAAAAGCCACTTGCAGCCAAGTACGTTTAAATGAAGAGAGTTAGGGACTATGGTCTATGTGCCTTAGTTTTGAAGAGCTTCAAATTCAGTGGACATGGCTTTCCTCTAGAATGCATGTTTGATGGCTTGAGAGTAATACATTGGGTTTGGGGGAATGAGTGTATGCTGGAGATCAAATATTCTCTTTGGTTGAATGATACATGTCTGAAGCTGAGTGATCATAAGATGTTTAGGTGGTTGGGGTGCTATTTGAGAAATAGAGTTGCTTGAGGAATTATTTGTAAAGCTGGAGATGTCGAGGGTGGGTGTGGAGTGAAAAGATTAGGTGAATTATGAGATGTGGTATTTGTAGAGAGACTATGGGATGTAGTTTGTGATATGTTGGCACAATTAGAGATGAAGGTAATTCTAGAGTGGAAGTGATAGTTGGAGATGTTGTAGATGGCAAAGCATTGTGATAAGGAAAAATAGATTCAAAGAATTTGACATTTCTGGACACTTGCATAATTCCTATAGTTGGATTAAAACATTTGTAACCTTTTGTTGCATCAACAAAACCAAGGAACACACAAGGTTGAGCTTTAGGTTTGAATTTGTGATGAAGTTGAGACGGTATCCAAGGGTTACATTAGCACCCAAAGACCTTAAGATGAGTGTAGCCTGGTAGGTTTTTATGAAGAAGCTCATACGGTCACAAATGCCGAGAAGCTTTAAATGGTAATTTCTTTATAGTGTGAGCTGCCATAAGCAATGCTTCAGGCTAGAAATTGTTGGGTAAGTGATCATGGAAAAAAAGAGCTCGAATCATTTCAAGATGATGCCTGTGTTTGCGTTCAGCAACACCGTTATGCTGTGATGTATAGGGACAGTAACTAGATGAACAATGCAGCATTGCTTAAGGTAAGTATTCAAAGATTAATTTATGTACTCACCCCCACCGTCAGTCTGAAGCACTTTAATAGGTTGAGTAAATTGTTTCTCAACCAGAATTTTAAATTGTAGGAATATGGTATAAGTTTCATTTTTATTTCGAAGTTGAAACACCCAGTAAAATTCAGTGTAGTCATCAACAAACAAGAGATAATATTTATAACCATGTAACGATAAGGTGGGGGAAGGACCCCATACATCAAAGTGAACTAAATCTTAACAACTAGTAGTTTTAGGCTAAGATAAAGTAAAAGTAAATCACTGGGATTTAGCTCACACGCAGGCAGAGCAGGAAAAGTTAAGAGATAACTTTGTGGATGCAGGTATGGAAGTTAAAAAATGCTATAAAGTTGAAGGAGCTGGGTGCCCAAGCCGTTGATGCCAAGTAGCTTGAGCATGATCGATTGTGTGAAGAGCAAGAATGCTTTTGGACGGCATGGAAGAAGCATTTGATCATAGCTTAATGGGGTAAAGTCCTTAATGACATGGACCTTGGAGGAGAGTCAGATTAGTCTGTGCATCCTTGAGTGTAAAACCATTGGCATCAAAGAGTATGAAGCAAGAGTTATCATTACTTAATTTATTAACAAAGAATAGATTATGACATAGATGCGAAACAAGTAGGATATGTGGAAGGTGAAACTTATGAGATGGAGTGGGTAGTATGCCTTGGCCTGAGTTCAAAATGGGGAGAAGCTGACCATTACCAACTTGGACATGTGAGGAGTCATTGTAAGTTTAGGGTAATTGAAGTTGATGTATGTTGGAGGTTAGATGCGAAGTGGCTCCTGTATCAAGAAACCAATCATCTGTAGATGCCACGTCCGAAGCCAAATAGGCTTGTTCTTGAGGTTGGTGAGAGAGGTCAGTGCGGTACCAACATTGAATGGCAGAGTGCCCTATTTTGCTACAAATTTGACATTAGATTGTCGAGTGAGGATGTCATCGTCATATATTGGGTTGGAAAGGAGTGAAACCTCCCCTGGTTGGAGGCAGCGAAGTGCGACCACGTCCCCACACGTGGCCACGAATATCTTGAATCGCAAATGCATTGTTTGTAGAGGTTGCATGAATGGGAACAATGGGATATTCATCGTGAAGGTTGAGTTCTTCACTGCATAATAGAGAGTAGAAGTCATCGAGTCCAATGTGTTGCAGTTGTGTGTGAATGGCTATTTTAAAGGCATTATAAGCCGGTGGCAGCCCATTGAGGGTATAAGCAATAATGTCCTCTGAATCAATGACAGAGCCGATGATAGTAATCGCATCTACCTCTTGTTGATCTCAGAAAGGTATTGAACCATGGTTTTGTCGCTCTTCTATAAATGATGGAGTTCACTCTTCATTTGAAGTTGTTTGGAGTGATTGGTGGATTAAAGTCTGCGTTCAATCATTGTCCAAATATCATGACACGATGTGAGATTGAGGAAATAAGGGAGTAGGGAAGGAGAGATGGTGGCATAAAGAGCTGAAGCCCAATTTTGGTCAATCAACCTTCATGTTTGGTACTATTTATTATTGCTAACCGTGCCATCAGAGGAACGCAACAGTGCTGCGGTTTTGGGGTGGAGCCATCAAGGTAGCCGTCAAAACTATTAGCAGAGAAGAGTTTAAGAACTTGAGATTTCCAAATGTGATGGTTTTTAGCTGTGAGCTATGTGCTTAGCACAGTTTTGACGTTGGTCATAAGGAACCTGAGTTAAGGAGGGATAGTATCAGTCATCTTGATTGGAGTAGTAGCAGAACAAGGGGAAAGGGATGATGCAGATGAATCCATCGGTAGAAGACTCTGTACCATGAGAATGTTCACTGTTTGATCCAGTGATACATAACTTGCAAGAAACTGTTAGTGCATAATGAAGACAAGGCAGAACATAGAGTAGAGATCAGAAAAAGCTCTCTTCATTAATTCTAATTATCCCGAGCTACAGTCACATGCTATAAATATAGAGAAGATGACCAAGCCGTTAGCAGTGAACGATTGATATTCCATATGGAGCTGAGCATCAATAGACAGTAGTAAAAGGTTATGAAAAAGATGCAGGAGCCAAATATGATAGTGAAAAATCAAGCCAACTTATCAGTAGAACTTATCATTTATCAGTATGTAATAAAATTATTATTTTCTTTATTTAAATATATGGAGACAACATTCACATGAAAATAACAAGCCTTATTTTTTATTGAGAAATATTTTATAATTTATCGATTATACAAAATAATTTTATATTTAAAATTATGAATTTTAATTATACATTTTAAAATTTACAACTCATCGTTTCAAAAAATAATAATTTTTTTATTTTTCCCTCAAAACACAAATAAAAATAACTTTTTATCCGTAATTTATATTTTTAAATAATTCACAATTATTTAATATTTAAAAATGCACGGTACAAAATTGTGCATGTTAATTATTGTCACATAAATGATTCGCACTTGCGAGAACTCTCGTGATTGTCCTTCTCACCTTTTTTTAATCATGTAGCATGGAAGGTTGTCACAAACATGTTTCTTCCTATGCCCTCATATTTGGCAATATGCATCATTATTAATTATACCATATTGTAGAAATAATTACAGATTAAAATTATTAAAATATATGAGAGTATTAAATTTAATTTTATATTAAATAATTAAAAATATATTTAATATAAAATGTTATAGCATTATCCCCACTCATAGGCTAATATTATTTGATTGAAAGTAATTTGTCTAATTTGGATTCTCTTTTAAAGTTTGTTTAATTCCATTGTAACGTTGTATAAAATTTTTTGTAAAATTATTGGGAGGGAATTTTATTGATTTTTAAAGTAGTTTTTAGTATATAAATTTGTTAAATTAGAAATTTTTATGCTAAAAATTTATTTTAAGAAGCAGGAAAAAAGTTGTCCCAAATGAGCCTTAATGCTCAAAATATTGACTTAAAAAAATGTATCATTTGTGGCAACTTTCGATCAATACTTTTTCTTTGTATTTAAAAAAAATTAATAAAAAACTGTAAGAAAATTATCTAAAAGAACCCTAAATTAGGCATTGCTAAATTGTCTAATCTCAAATTTTCATTTTTATTCCCTTTAAATTAGTAAAATTTCATTTGATGTGAACACTTTTCGGGTTCGTCTGGGACTGCTTTCTAGCATCTTAAGATAACTTTTTAGTATAAAAATTTATTTTTTGTACTAAAAAGTTATTTTAAGAAACAGTAAAAAAAGAATCACAAAAGAAGCCTTCATTATAAATAGGGTCATGCAAACAAATAGAAACCAAAACATAAGAAAGGATTCTATAACCTAAATATGATCATTTTCTTTCTCATCAACATATTTGACTAAAGTTTTGTTTGGACGGCTTTCTTATTGCTTCTTAAAGCTACTTTCTATTTAAAAAAATTTTAATTTAAATATTAAAAAAAAAATTTAAAAAAGAGTAATAAAATGATTCCAATAGAAGCCTAAATGGATAAAGCAAGCGGCAAAAGCCTTCAAAATGATAGCAACAATGATAAAGTTTGCTTTTTTGGAACCAAAAGAAGCTTTGAACAGTAAAAAAGTATGGAAATTATTGGCCATGACATAGTTTCTCTTTATTAAATTCTACTATTTTCTATTCTTATACTAAAATCATAATACAGACACAGATTAAGAGAAGTTCGTCCAGCTTTAGCAAGACACAAATAATAATAACAATAATAATTAAACCAATAAGCCCAGAGAGAACTCTAACGAATCCACTTACAGACACTGAACTCACTTCCAGGGAATCTGCAACCACCACATGGCTGCAAGGCCGAAGAGCAGGAAGAGGAAGACGGGCGGCGGTGGAGACGAAGATGGGCTGGCGTTGGCGGAAGAGGAGGAGGAGCCGAAGGGCGCGAAGGCGGAATTCGGGTCGACGGAGTCCGGGTTGGGCGGGCTGAGGTTGGAGGGGATGGTGGGCAGCAAGCCGTCCGGCGCATAGGCCGTTTGAGGGGAGGGGAGCACTGGCATTATGTCCGGCGGGAGGGAAGGCTCGCTGGAGGGGAGGATGGACGGGGAGGCGGAAATGAAGGACGGAGGGAAAGTTCCGGCGGTGATAGGGGGAAGGAGGAGCAGAAGAAACATGGCGGCGGTGGCGGCCATGAGAGAGAGAAAAGGTGTTTGCTTTAGGTATTTGGTTGTGTAGAGGGGCTGAAGGAGGAGATAGAGGAAAAGGTTGTAATTATGGGGGAAGAGAAGAGGAGAGGGTGCACGTGGAGAAATGGTACTGGAAATGGCACAGGTTGGCAAGAATGGAGGTATCTCCCAACATGGGCTGATGGGAGGGATAGGCTTTATGATTAAAATATAATGATGATGATAGATTAATTATTGTGCCCATATTATGTTTGGAGTACTTCTCGTGAGTATAAAAGGAATATATATAATTTTCCAGAAAAAAAAAGAATATATTTCAAATCATTTCATTATATAGGAGTAGGGGTGTCAAAATCGGTTCACGGGTTGGATTCGGGTCGAACCCGACTTGACCCGGATCTAAACAGGTCAAAGCTCAGGTTATCGGGTTAACCTGGACCTGACCCGAAATTTCAAATGGATTATTTAACTGAACCCAAACCCGACCCAATTTTAAATCGGGTGGGGTCAAACCCAAAATTTTAATTTCGGGTCGGGTTCTAATCGAATTTTTGTGTCGTGTCAAATATTGACACTCCTATATATGAAAGCTTCCAAAATTAAGAGGTTTATGAGACAAGGTTACATTTTTGTTTAGGAATTTGGTTGTTATTTAGAGAAGAAATATGAGGGAGAAGTTATGATGTGACTTAATTTGTTTAATCTAGTAGTAATTATGGGTTAATTGGTATGATAATTAACGTAAAATATCCTGTAATTCTATAAACTCTTCCAATTAGGGAATACCAGAATAATCCCCTTTGTTTAATCTTATTTTTTCTTTTCCTTCTATTAGGAGTCAGAGCATCTTAGAATGCTTGGCATAGAAATCGAATTCCTAATATCCTCTGGAGATCATTGACTATCAAATTGAAAGTAGAAAATAGCTTTGTTGTGTGCCAAAACATTCGCGACGGCAGAGAGATATAGGTTTTATCATCTAAGCTTTTTGTGAAGATCCAACGTACTAACAAATAAGAGACAAGAGTGCAAGAGTAATAAGAAACACCAAGATTTTCACATTAATAATCATAAATAAGAGAAAACCACATAGCCTCGCCTAGTTAAAATGATTAATCTACTAGTGTTTGTAGTCAATCACAAATGATGTCCTTCCTTGGGGAAAGACCTCAGCTCAATATAGTAAAAATACAACATATACAACTTATTACATGATTAGACTTGGAAGAATCTAATGATATAAGAGTTGTTCTCAAAAGAATTTTTGCTTGCTCGTTTGGTTTGTAGGACCATATTTAGGAGACAGAAGTTAGAGGGTCTTAGTCGAGTGACTAAGGTATAAGGGATCATTGTCAATTGATAAAGGTCGGAGGGACTAAAGTCAAAGGGAAATGGTGGTAGGAGGGGTAATACTCGACAGGTGACGGTGGTCAGAGAGGTCGTAGTTAGTGGGTGACGGTGCTCGGAGGAGCCATAGTCTATGAGTGACAATGGTCAGAGGTGCCGTAGTCGGCATGCTGCAAAGGTTGGAGTGGATTTTGTAGGTGGGCGATGGAGGTCAAGGAACCATAGTTGGTGGGCATCGAAGTTCTAGGGGACCATAATAAGTGAGCGACGAAGGTTGAAGGGACCTTAGTCAATGGGTGATGATGATCGAAGGGACCATAGTCAGTGGATGATGATGATCGAAGGGATAGTACTAGATGGGCAAAGGAGGTAGTGGGGTCGTAATCAGCGGGAAACTGAGGTCGAAGGGAGCATACTCTGCAAACAATAATGGTTGAATGAACTATAGTCGATGAGTGATGGTGGTCTAAGGGACCATAGTCAGTGGGCTATCGTGGTCAAAGGGGCCTTAGTCGGCAGGCAACGAAGGTCTGAGGGATCGTAGTCGAGGGGAAACAGAGGTAATAGGGATTGTAGTTAATGGGTCACGATGGTTGGAGGGATCTTATTCGACTGGTGACACTGGTCAGAGGAGCCATAGTTAGTGGGAGACGATGGTCAAAGGGATCAAAGTCGACTGGCGATGGTGGTCGAAGGGATCATTGTCAACTGGCATCTATAGTCAAAGGGATCATAGTCTGCAGGCAATGGAGGTTGGGTGAGGGCCTGACCATGGTTGTTTGATAGAGGTTCGACGGTGATGGTCTGGCAGAGGCTAAGAAGTGGTGGCCTGGTGGTCAGGTTTGTCGCAGTGATTCTAGGGTGGAGCTCTGAGATTCTTCATGCCATAAAGTTCTCATGAATCTCTAGCCCGCGATTAGCTCATTTATTAAAGAGGTTATTGACGAGTGATTTAAAAAAAGGTTCCTAAAACACAACAAATGCACAAGAATAATCCACATGAAGTGCTTCTAGATAGATGAAACCATTTTCATGGCCATCAAGGGATGAAATTAAGGTATTACCCACATGCTTGTCAACCACAAATTTCCTTTTACAACTTCTCTATTAATACAATGCTAAAGACTTATTTGAGAGATGGATAAATTAAATGGATTGTCATTACCTCTAATGAAAGAATTTGGAAGTTCAACCATGAGAAAAAGGTCATTGGATAAGGGGGAGTAATGATGTTACTCCACTTGTACTAATTTCATAATAATTATAGTTTAATTAGTAAGGCAATTTATCTTAGATTGTCTTATAAGCCTAAATATAGCCCCAACTAGAGTAAATGCATGATGAAAAATGATTGTTTCCCTTTCTCATATATTATTTTCTCTTTTCATTTTTTTGGGAATGATAAAATAACTTAATTAAAATGCCCTATATAGGAATTTTGTTCATATCAATTCATTTGTGAAAACCTTATATAATGGTGAATTTCTTTTTGAAGTCGAAGTAGAGTTAACACCACTTACTCTACACATTCTTTGGGTCCTCTCAATGCCTTCTCTCAGCAATCTTTCATCATGAAAACATCTTCTCCTTTACACTCTTTCATCTCATTCAAACATTCCCCCAGCATGCTCCCCATATGAACCCCTCTATCTTTTCACACACTATTGATTCCATAGACACCTTCCTCAAAGAGCTCTCATCATGAATTCCTCTTCTCCTAATTAATCTGATGGTTCTATCACTTTTCATCACTCATATCAATGCCATCCCTCTTGATCTCTCATTCAAGGCTTTCAACATCAAGCTCTTGGGTGAAAACCAACATACTTGGCTCTTATATTTGGTATAATTATAGCTTTAAATTAGTTTTGAATCTAGTTCTAATTTGATCATCTATATACTCATTTAATTAGTTCAAAATTAATAAATAGTCTTGGAATACCAGAGGTTTATTCATTGGACATAATTTCATCCATTATGAAACATTAGACTTATTTCTTTAGAAATATAAATAAAAGGGATATTTCATCAATTACGTATATTATGGATCTTATAAAATGATATTTCCCTATATTTTTCAATGATATATTTTAAAAAATGAGTTTTAAAATAGGTTGATTTTTAGCAACTGAAAATAAAACCATATGGCCAACAAATTAATAAAGAAAAAAAAAAGAAATATGTTTCATAGGACTTGAAGTTATGCAATAAGACATGTGTCCTTAATATAAATACTAACTTAACATACTTTGGGCTTCGTCCATGATATGATTTTGAGCATGCCGTGGATCAATATTAGTTATACATTCTTTTTAATCAAAAGGTCATACGAGGTGTTCGACTCCACGTAGTGGGACAAAGCTTGATATTATTGTTGTTGGTCATACGAGGCGTAATACACGACCAATGCATCAACATAAATAACAAGGGAAATTCAATTCATTTTGTTTTGAGAAGGTGGCCATATGCCATGTAATAAATATTTCTTTATGATTGACATAGGTTTATTTAGAAGTTAATAACTCAATAGATAAGAAATTTAATCCTTAAAGATGAAATATATTGATGAATCTCTAACAAACACAATCACAAATATAACAAAGAGTAGAGTAAAATCACTAAATGATTATACTTTAGTATTTTCATGTGAGCATTAAGATATATAAATGTAATAAAAAGCATCATAAATATATGATTAGTATAAATAATACACACCATAATGACTTTGCAGTAAAAAAATATTAACTACACACTATCCTAAACAAGCAAGAAAATTTTGATGTGTCTTTCACAATATTTAGTGTGTATGGGGCTTGTGTGTTCAAAGGGCCTAGCCATTTGATCTCGATAACACCACAAGGTCCAGTTTCGTCATAAAGATCTAATTAAATTAGAATATTTCATTTTAACCAAATAATTTTGAAATAGTTCTATGCCTTATAAATTTACAAAAGTATTGATAAATTTGTCAAATGAAATAAAAATATAGTTTAAAAGACATTAATTTCACAGAAGATCGAAGTTTTTATTGAACGATGAACCCCATGCTAGTTATATCTTTAGTACATTATATGAGATTTGATTAGGGTTTATTGATTCTTATTATTAAACACTCAATAATAATGATGGTCAATTAATATACCCTAATCACATGCCAAATCTTAAATCTTGGGTTAAGCTCACCATTTAATTCATGTGGTGAATCATGGCTTTTAATGTAGATAGATCTCTTTTTTTTAACTAAATGTAATAAAATTTGTTAATATTAAATGCATTAAATTCAATATTTCTTAATTATTTGAAATTTTTATTTAGTTATTTGCATAAATTAGGCATTTTCTTATAGGGAAAATCTCTTTTTACAACTTACCACAAAGTCATGTTGTCTATTTTTTTTTTTTTTTTTAACAAAAAAAAAATTTAGTCTGGCAAAGGATAAGCAGCGGTGGTTTGGTGGCCAAGTTCGATGGCGGTGGTTCTAGGGTGGAGCTCTGAGAAGCTTTATGCTTTATGCCATAAAGTTCTCTTGAGTTTCTAGCCCAAGATCTAACCTATAGCCTCACAAGCTCATTTATTAAAGAGTTTATTGAGGAGAATGTTTTAAAAAAGGTTCCTAAAACACAATAAACACACAAGAATAATCCATATGAAGTGCATCTAGATAGATGACACAACTTTCATGGACATCAAGGGATGAAATTAAGGTATTACCCACATGTTTTTCAACCAAAAATTTTTCTTTTGCAACTTCTCTATTAATACAATGCTAAAGGACTTATGTAAGAGATGGATAAATAGATTGTGATTCACTCTTGGAAAATA